GGGGGGGGGGATAAACGAGGCCTCGCTTGTCTGCCAGCAAAACGTATATTAATTAGGCTGCTGAGGCGCTCGATCGACTATCCGGACTTTCCGTTAATTATGAAAAAGGCTCGCGATTGATCGCCGCGCGGCCAATCAATTAACAGCGTTTACGTAAGGGCCCAGACGCTTAGCTTCCTTCATTAGTAAAATATCACCTGTGCGCGCGCGCTCGTTGCCCTAATCAAGAAGCCGCGCTAAGACTAAATTAACGCGTTAAAGCTTCGCCGGCTTGCCAATCCCCTTCCGCGCGCCTATACATTCTCATTAGTCCCATGGCGCTTTTAACAGTCCATAAAGAAAGCTCTAAAATAGCCGTAGAATATAGCCGGGGCGCCGTGTGTTTACATTCGGGTTTAGCGATTGGATAAGAGACTCCTCAAGGTACCGTCCGCAAGGACAAAAAGAGCCATCCGAAGAAAACTGTGACGGTGTCGATGACGATGACGACGACGATGACGGCGACGATGACGACGGCGAGGACAAAGTAAGAAGAAGCTGAAGCAGAAACAGAAGACGTAGAAAAAGAAGAAGAAGAAGAAGAAGAAGAAGAAGAAGAAGAAGAATACGGCCAACGAGGGAAGGGAGAGGAAAAATTGTATAAAATACGAGGAGCCAATGCGAAGAGGGATGGGAGAAAGAGAGAGAGAGAGAGAGAGAGAGAGAGAGAGAGAGAGAGAGAGAGAGAGAGAGAGAGTGAGGGGGGGGGGGTGGGGGGGAGCGGGGCCGGAAACGACCGCTTCTGTTCGTAGATATTACGTATTGAAATACGGAGAGCGAGTTGAGGAATGGGAGCGACATACAGTGTATACAAACATATACGCATGGGCACCTCTATCCTGTGGGAGTGGGGAGGCTGACGTAGGCCTGCTCCCGAGCCTTATCGCTCTCTGCATTACATACGATTGTTCCCTGTTGCATGTAGATGCGCTCGATGCCCGATGGCCTCGCGCCCTCGTGATTCTCGCGGCGGAGGCTGAGGGGCTATCAGTGGCAGCGTTCCCAAAAAGAAGGACGAGGAGGGAAGGGCGAGAGAACGGATGACGAGGGCGAGGCGGTGACTTCGCTGTCACGCTCCGGCTAATAGAATCTCGGGTTTATCGGCTTGAAATTACGTTTCTCGCCGTGCGCAGTCGACACTCGGAACAAGTTAGATATCGAGTGGCCGGCTAATCGGAGGAAGTGTCGGATGCGAGTTGTCCGCTACGATCGTGGATTACAGAAAGCGCCCAATCGTAAAAGCTGCCGGTGCCGGAGCTCGGGGCGTTCGCGCAGTTCCCGGGGGCTCGCAATAAGACGAAAGCCGGCGCTGGGAGCCGAGAAGCAGATCCGCTCGCCATAAGCCTTTCATTGTCATTTCCGTTCGATGCCCCTCAAATCCCCCC